TATTATATCCCCAAGAGATATGTATATATTTGTTTGCCAAAAAACACATACTAGAATGTTCCTAGCAGCACTAGTCATCATAGTCCTAAACTGGGAAACTATCCAAATGTCCATCAACAGTAAAATGTATAAATAAATACAATACAGCAATGAAAACGGAGGCTCTACACTGTGATGAAACAACAGGGATTAATCTCAAAAAAATAATGTTACCCTGGCCAGGTAGTTCAGTTGGTGAGAGCATCAATGTCCTGATATGCTGAGGTTATAGACATAAAAATCAACCAATGACTGAATAAATAAGTGGAACAACAATTACGTATTCATTCTCTTTCTCTCTCTCTCCCTCCCCCTAATCAATAAAACAATAATAATTATGTTGAGTTAAAGAAACCAGGCATAAAAGCATACATACTATATCTATATCTATCTATCTATCTATCTATCTATCTATCTATCTATCTATATATATGATTCTAATTACACAAAATAGAAAAAGACAAAACTAATCCATATTGCTTGAAGGCAGAACAGTGGTTACTCTGTGGTGGAGGTAATAATGGACAGACACAAGGAGGCTTCATGGGAGCTAGTAATATTATTCCTTCATATGGGCGCTGGGGACAAGGGTATGCTCAGTTTCAAACAGTGAATGGATGAGAACCATTATAGCAACAGAGTAAGTTAAAAAGCAAGGCTCCAGAATCAGAGGGCCTGCATTTTAATTTCAGTTACATCACTTACTAGTTACAATTTGGGGCAAGTTATTTAACCTCTCTGTGCCTCATTTCTTTATCTATAAAATGGGCCTAATACCTACCTCATAGGGTTAGTCTGAGGATTAAATCATCCTAAGACTTTTAAAGTACTTATTTACACAGTTGGCTATTATTATTAAATATCTGCTAGGTAAATGAAAGCTCTTTATTCTGAAGCAACATAAGAAGATGAGGAAGACAAACAAAGACATAAGACTTGGCTATTTCTAGAAAATGCACAAAATAATTATTTAGGAAATAAAGGTGACAGCAAAGGGGCATAACCTGGAACTTGAGACTAGTCCTACAAACCTTCAACTAAATAGACCTTGAGCAAACAGTCAACCTCTCTGAGCCTGAAGGTTGCCACTGTGCACCAGGGACTGGCCACAACGATCTCTTCGGCATAATGAGTACTAATAAACGAAGGCGCTGATCAGGGACTAAAATGGCTGAGTGCACAGCTAGGCTCTCTAATTCTCCAGAAGAACTCTTTAAGTTTTTTATGCCTCTGAATTTCACCTAATACTTACATTTTTTAAATACCTATCATATTTAACAGCTATGTCTCTGTCACTCAGGGTCATATTTCCTGCAGCTATTTGGAGTAAATAATTAAGACTTCTAATGGGTTTCTAAAATAGCCAGTGGGTTGCTGTCATCCTACTGTGGTAGTGTCCCTAACTTCTCTGGCCACGTTATAATAGTTACTCTTTATTAAGCCCTACTTACATGCCTGGCACTACAATAAATATTTTATCCCCAATCCTCAAAAAAATCTGCCAAGTCTGTAGCATTCTTCCTTATTCTCATCTTTTACAGATAAGAACATTAAGGCTCAGAAAGGCTGCCCTGTTGATTAAGTAGCAGAGCTGGAAGGTGAAATCTGGCTTGTTTGGCTCCAGAGTCTATGTTTCCATGAACCATAGTCCCCTGACTTACTTCACAATCAATCAGATTTCCTCTTACTTGTATAACAAAAGGTCATTAGCTAAGGTAATCTAAAAAAAGAAAAATCTAATTTAGTGAAAAATCAATTTTGGATTTTTTTTTAATCCTCACCTGAGGACATGTTTATTGACTTTAGAGAGAGATAGGAAGGGGCAAAGAGGAGGAGACAGACATTGCTGTAAGAGAGAAACACTGACCATTTGCCTTCCGTCCACACCCTGACCAGGGATGGAACCCGCAACCTAGCTATGTGCCCTGATCGGGGATTGAACCTGCAAACTTTTGGTGCAATGGACAACACTCCAACCAACCGAGCCACCCGGCCAGGGCTCAGTTTGGATATTTTTTAAATGATCACCTTTGTTTCTAAGTTAAAGGTCTCCTCTTAGGTCTATTTAAATGAATATTGGGCATCAAAGCTACTTATATTATATAGCAGGCATCCAAACCATAGTTAGAGCCCTTAAGACATTTACGTTTCTTTCCTGCTGAATCTTCAGTGCCCAGATCAATGCCTTGTCCAGAGTAGGCACTTAACAAAAATATCTTGAATACCACCTCCCTCAAATCTTCTTTACCAAAATACTCTACTAATAAGGAAGATGCATTCCAACAACACTTTATATCTGAAACTTCATGACTAAAATTAAACATAATATGAAAGCCACTGGGGTATCTTTCCTGCTATAAAGACACTTTCCTCCAAGTCGAATGGCACTGTCATCATCAGCAATATGTAACTATTAAACACCTATGGATATTTATTTAGCATACTAATTCAGTATCTTTCTCTCTTCTCTCTTTCCTCATCAGTTTAGCAAGTTACAGCAGTTGTAGTTCCCCTCCAGGCAGGCCAGCCTCTTGCAGGTGTAGTAGAGACCACAAAGAGGCACAAATGTCACACATGATTAGACAGTTTTTCCAAGTTAAATATAAAAGCCCCAAGAGTTTGACTTTTCCCTTAACCAAGCATATGTCATAGCACCCCCTTCCTGGACCCCTGCAAATTGCAGCCCTGAACAACCTCCTCTTCCTCCTCCTCCTCAACCAACCACCCCACACTGAGGAAATCCGAAATTTCTCCCAGTGTCTGTCATATCTATTCCTACTCCATCTAAAAGAGATAGTTTGTTTCCTAAGTATTCACTGAATGTGTCACCATATATTATCACAGTTTTTCTTTAAAAACCCTATCCTCACAGAGATAGGAAGCGCACAGCCTATGTGTGTACCACAGGAGAAGGTACACCAGTCAGGAAAATGGCTCACTCCCACTTTACCTTCCATTGCAACTTGGGCAAATCAGTTACCCTCTCTAGGCTTTAGTGGTCTAGTTTCCTCAGCCAAAAAATGAGAGACTGAAAAGGGTTATTCACCTAGGTCCAGGGCGCTTTGTAGGATTCAGGCATTTGCTTTAGGGGGTTCATATTCCTTCTACCTGGGAACTTATTAATATAAAAAATTATCTGTTCACATATGTGGATTTTTCTGGAGAAGTCTTATGGTTTATATCAAACTGTCATACAAGTAGTAGCCCAAAAATTAACCTTGTTTTATTGAGCTCTTGCTATGTGCAAGGCATTGTGCTAAATCTTTACATATATTAACTCATGGAACCCCTCACAGTAACACTTTAAAGTAGATACTATTATTATACTGATTTTCCAGCTGAATAAAGTACACCAGAAAGAGCCTGCGCTCTTAAACATAATGTTATTAGTTAGGTGAAATCGTCTCTAAACCCTAAAATTCTCTGATTCTATGTTCATTCAAATTAATAGTTGTCCTTTAGTTAAATTTTCTGTCCCATTTCACAGTCATTAGTTCTACTTTTATTTAAATCTTTACACAGAACAACCAAACTCATGGAACACCCAGATAACTACTACCTGAAAAATAATTTTTTTGGAGTTAATCCTAGTAAAGGATCCAAAGGCACTTTCTAGCTCCAGTGACCAATCTGCTCTCACTTTTATAACATGGTGATTAACCAAAAGATGTATCTGAATCTATTACTAATTAAAATCTAAAATCGAAGTAACAGTAAATAAGTCAGAGTGCCAACCAAAAGAGGGGACGCAGTGGCAGCAATCGTGTCTCACATACCACTCACCAACGCAATGAGAAGACCAAGAAAGAAATACGAGTGCAAGGCCAGGGTGTCCTGGCTTCCTCCCCTGCTCCCACCTTCTGAAAACCATTGGCCACTGTTGAGCTACGGTTTGAATCACTCTCCACTTGGGATACAAAGCTGGCTAACGGTATTACACCATCACCACCTCCCTCTTGAAATAAGGAGTGAAAACTATGTGAGAGCCTAGCTCCCAAATTTTGTAGACACCAGTTCTGACAACCTGCAACAGTAACACAAGTTACACCTGAGTTACACCTGCAAACTGTATTGCCTGCCACCCCTCTTCTGCCCAAATTACTGAGGGACATTACACTGCTTAATAAATGGCGGCAAAGGAGAAGTGGACATTGTTACTTCTTTTCACAGGCTGTCAAAAAAACCCCACAGCTTAAAGGGAAGGTTGTTGAAACTTTATGCCCAACTCTCTTGACCTTTCTCCATTTAGTCTGTGTAATGAGAAGAGAAGCAAGGAGGGAGAAAGGTGATCAAAGGAACGGCCTGCCTGCAAGGATATCTTTTTCAAGAGTGATGCAACAGGGTCAGCGAGACGAAGGAAAGGAGGAACTGGGAGCCCCCAGGAAGAAGAAACCCAGCGTGGGAACTGGAAATCTGAGCAGAAAATGGGTTATGAAGGACTGGTGCGAGTGTTATTTAGAACGGACCAGGGGATAAAGGGTCTAGTCTGGAGCGGTCTGAGGAAGGACAGGTGGCGGTGGAAGGCTTGGTGGGGCGGGTACCGAGGCTGTCCAAGGGGGCGGGGGGGAGAGCTGGAGAGTCGGGGCGGGCAGGGAAGGGTGCAGTCTGTGGGTCCTCAGAGAAACGGTCACAAGGCCGGCGTGACCTGCTCGGCGGTGTAGGAACTAAGGGAGGGTGTATACAACCGAGAAATCCTTCAGGGTCAGGGGGCTGTTAGGTTGGGGAGGAAAGCCTGAGGCGCTAGCCCAAGGGCAGGAGCGCCTGTAACCGAGGGCCCAGGGCGAGGGAAGAACGGAGTGGTGACAACGGTCGGGGCCAGAGGAGAAGGGAGAAGGCAGTCCAGTTCGGGTAGAGGCGGGGGCTGCCGCGGATTCCGGGCTCGGGCTGAACAGAGGGAGGCCGGGTCTAAGGGGGTTAAGAAGGGCCCCGGGACTGCTGCGGGCCGTAGCTGGCACTCTCACCGGGACAGGTGCTTCAGGATCTGCTTCTTAATGATCCCGGCCATGCCGGAGCCGCGGCCCTTGTGGAAAGCAAGTGAGCAGCTGTGGCCTCCTCGCTTTGAAGAGGCGGACCCTCACGTCTTCGCGGTGCGGGGACCGGATGCCGCCACCATGGCGCTCTCCCGCCCGTACTTCGGCGCTCGGAGTTCCGCCGCGATCCCACCCACCCGCGCGGTGCTGCGGCCGCCAGCCCAGGGCCGCATAGACGTAGCGCACCCAGCTCCGGACTCGCGGTGGCCAGAGGCAGGCGCGGTGAGAGGCCGGGAGCGCGCGGCGAGGCGCGCGGGCGCGCGGGAAGCGGGGGCGCGCGCGGCGGCGCACCCGCGAGCTCCCGCCTTCTGCATCAGCCAAGCCAACGTCCAATACGCCGATAGAGAAATGAGACGCTTCAACCCTCATCTGCCGACTCCGGAAGTCGCCTTGAAGCGTCGAGAGAAAGGCGGCGTGTTTGTAATTTCTTTTAGGAGTTTCTCTATAATTGCGCAGCTTCCTTCACACATTTCACTCATTTGTTGACCACCAACTACTCCAGTAATCAGGGTGGCGAGTGAAAAGTAGTCTCAGGGACCTGAGAGGCCCATAGAACCACTGTTTTGTACTAAAGAACTGAGAGGGGGCGCGTCGTTATCTTCTGTGTGCCCCTCTTAGCCTCTACGCGGTTAACCAGTGTTTCCTGAATACTCAAGTACACCCCTCCCTTAAGTGGAGGACACAAGAAAATGAGATAGTAATTGTTAGAATTACCAAGGACCTTAGAGAACAAGTTCTTTGTTTTGCAAATAAGGAAACTGAAGCCCAGGGAAATAGTTCAAAAGAGCTTGTCCAAGATCACAACTATTTAGTGAGACTCCGGACAAGCATAAGTGTTCTCCCAGTCCAAAGTTATTTCCTCTCTGTTTCATCCATACACTTAACCATAACCCATATGCCAGGGACATCTATAGACCCAATGGCAAAAGCGGGAAGATGACAGTTTTCTAGACTTAAACCATCAAGCAAAAACTTGAGCAAAATAGTACTCTAAGAAAGCCTTATGGGAAATCTAGCCACTAATTAATTTTATTAAATTTATTCATTCTTGTGAATAGGTAATACATGCACATAATATTGTACAAAAACCAAGGAAAACTTCCCTCCCTCTCCTGCCCTTCAGCCATTCAGTTCCCCTCCCCAAAACCTTTGTTACCTAATTCCAGAAATGGTCTAAGCATGGTCAACCACATAAATGTGAAACTTTTAAAAGAAATAATCAACAGACTTCCTGCATGCCAATGCCTCTCTCTTAGTCATAGTAAGTTCAATTTTCCCCAGAAGTAACCCCCAAATTACCTTTTTAAAAGGCAAGCAAATCATCCCCAGCCTAGGTGCTCCATGACCCAATTCTCCCGGACAGGACTATCATTACTTTTTCCTCTGCCCACGTCTCACCTGAATACATACGAACAGATCCTTTGAAAGAGATTTCTTGCTGGGATTATTGATCATATCACTGCTTCCCAATTCTGCTGTCAGCTGCAGGGGCGTCAGGGCCATTTCTTTTATTTCATGCTTTTCCTGGAGCACCCCATCAGCTTATTTAGGCATCTGTCAATAGCTGTATAAAACAAAACTTGCCTCATTCTCAGAGACTTAGCATCCTGTTGAACCATTCATCATGCCTGGTGAATGAGATTCTTGTTGAAGGAAAAAAGCTCTTGCCCTAAAAGAATATGACCTCTTTAGGGATCGTTGAATAGGAGAGTTTATACTCTCACCAATAGTATTAATGCATTTATCTTTCCCTGCAATGCTAAGAATACAAACTGCATAAAAAGAAGAGACATTTAGGGACAATCCATATTTTTTAAATATTAACCATGTTATTTTGAGATGGTTGTAGATTAACATTCAATTGTAAGAAATAATGCAAACATTTCCCTGTACCTTTTACCTAATTTACCAATGGTAACATTTTCCAAAGCTTTAGTACAATATATCACAACCAGTATACAGAACATATTTTTCCTTTCTTATATGAATGCCTTTTTTTTTTATCATTTGAGAGAGACAGAGAGAGAAAGAGGAAAGAAGGGAAGGACAGACAGACAGACAGATGATTGGTCTGTTGTTCCACTTATTTATGCATTCATTGGTTGATTCTTGCATGTGCCCTGACCAGGGACCCAACCGCAACTCTGGCATATCAAGACAACTCTCTAAATAACTGAGAGGCCTGGCCATGGACAAAAGGGACTTCTGTGAATGCCTTTTGTTTCCCTTTTTTTTTTTTCTTTTTTTTTACCTTATTGAGCTGGCTACAACTCCTGACACTTTGTATAACAAGACTGACATCATTTTTTTGTTCCCAACTTTTGGGGGAAAACATTCAGTCTTTATTAAACCATTAAGTATAATATTAATTTTAAATTTTTTGGATGCTCTTTATCAAGTCAAGGAAGTTCTCTTCTATTCCCATTTTCCTGAGAATTTTTATCAAGAATTAATGATTAATTTTTCAAATGCTTTTTCTGCACTGAAGGCTATGTTCATGTGATTTTATCCTATTAACATGGATGATTGTATTGATTGATTTTCAAATACTGAATCAGCTTGCATCCCTGTAATAAATCTCATTTGGACACGGTGCATAATTGCTTTCATATATTACTGAATTCTGTTTGTTAATATTTGGTTAAGAATTTGTATGTGTTTCCTTGACAGCTAATGATATTGAGCATCTTTTTATGCGCTGGCTTGCATATCTTCTTTGAAGAAATGCCTATTCAAATCTCTTGTCCATTTTTTAATTGGATATTTATCTTTTTATTATTGAGTTGTAATAATTCTTTTTATATTCTGGATGCAAATCCCTTATTTGCAAAAAATAATTTGCAAAAAATTTTTCCCCATTCTCTGAGTTGTCTTTTCATTTTCCTGATCATGTCTTTTGAAGCACACAAAAAAATTGGTTTTGATGGTATCCAGCTCATCTTTTTTGTTGTTGCTGTGCTTCTCGTGTTATATCTAAGAAATCATTACCTAATCCAAGGTCATGAATATTTACATCTACATTTTCTTCTAAAAGTTGTATAATTTTAGCTCTTACATTTAGGAATTTGATGAATTTTGATTTAATTTTTGTACATGGTGTGATGAAGGGAACCAACTTAAACATCATTTGTTGAAAAGAATATTCTTGACACACTGAGTTATCCTTACAGTACAGTATCCTTCCTTACAGTAGTAACACAGTGTCTGATTAACTTTGTAAGGTTTTGAAATAAACTATAGCGTTTTTGAGTGTATAGCGTTCATAGCTGTTAGTTGTTTTTCTAGTTATGACATTATTTATTCATAACTTATAGAATCTACTGGTCTTCCCATTTATTTATCTGTTCAAATGAAGTATACAATCTTACCTCCCTTAATGTTCCTTTTCCTTCCAGTAGATACAATTGTCTTAAATATTTCCTCTATAAATGTTTAGAGCTACATCAAGCTGTCACAATTTTTGCTTCAATCATCACACATGATATAGAAAACTCAGAAAAAGTAAAGTCTATTATACTTACCCATATTTTTGCTTACTGTATTTGTTCATCCTTCTTGATGTTATTAGTCATTCATTCATTTTTTTCCTTTCTGTTTAGAGAATTTTTAATCTTTTCTTTTAATGTAGATCTGCAAGCAACAAATTCTCAGTTTTCTTTTATTGGAGAGTGTCTGCTTCCCATTCATTCCTGAAGCATATTTTCACTGGTTAAAGTATTCTGGGCTTAGTTTTCTTTCAGTACTTTAAAACAATTCTGCTACTTTCTTCTGGTGTCCATGATTTTCAGAATTTCAACTCTAACAAGTCTTGGTGTGAATTTCTTTGAGTTATCCTGACTGAAGTTTGCTAAGCTTCTTGAATATGTAGGTTTATGTCTCTTACAAATTTGGAAAGTTTCCAACTATAATTTTTTACAATGACTTTCTTGGCTCCTTATTTTTTTTCCTCTTTTGGGACTCTAACATGAATATTATATCTTTTTTCTAATGTTCCTGTAACAGAGCACATCCAAGGATTCCCAAGGGGTATTTGTGCCGGGGTCCAGAGATTGGGGTGTCCAAGGAAAATATATTCTCCCCACCCCAGGGCGGGCCACCATGGGGGATGGGAGCCTTGAGCAGGGCCAATGAGAGTCACTTTGCATGTCAATAACAGGATAGCTTCATCCCTCATATGCAATGAGGGTTATTTTGCATATCACCAAGGCTAATCAGGAAGGTTTGAAAGATTTAATGCCGAATGTAACTGAGAGGGAAGAGGAGAGACAGGGGCCTGCAGGAGAGACAAAGGGACAACAGACTCTGGGGAACAATGTGAAGACGACGGGGAGAAAGGACTCTTGCTAGTGGGCCATAAGAAGGTGCCACATGTTTATGGATTAAGAGCTGGAGATCGCGGCGACGCAGCGGATGGTACTGAGACCCAAGAGAGGCCTGCCTGGCCAAGCCCTGGACTTCTGTTCTTTTTCTTCTGAAGGACAGTACCCGTGACTGGCCTGATTGGGCAAAGGAGGGAAGGCAGGATGGTGTGTGTGCTGCTGATTGTCTTAAAGGGATTTTGAGGTTTAAGGATGACATTTAGTCATTACTCAAACCTGTATAACTTTTGAATAAATAGTTCCTTTCCTTTTCACCAAACTCTGCCATTCAGAACCATAATTCCAAGGGAGGCGAGCAAAGAACCTACAACAGAGGGACCCCGGGGAAGGGGGGTGTCATTGTTTCAGTAATAGCATCTGGGCTACACATCCCCCACCACGGGTCCTTTTGTTCAGTAACATTCCTACAGGTCCCGGAAACTCTGTTTATTTTTTTTTAAGTCTATTTTCTCTCTTGTTTAGATTGGGTATTTTTATTGATATATCTTGAAGTTCACTGATTATTTACTGTTACCAATTGTTTGCTGTTGACCCATGCACTGAGTATCTTATTTTTTATATTTGGATTCTAAAATTGCCATTTGGTTCATTTTTGTATCTTATATTTATTTTTTTGAGCATGTTCAAAATTGTTTGTTTAAGCATTTTTATCATGGCTGCTCTAAGGTCTCTATGAAATAATTCTAGCCTCTCTGACATCTTGGTGTTGACATCTATTGATTGCCTCTCAAATTAAGTTTGAGATCTTCCTGCTTCCTGGTATGATGAGTGATTTTTTATTTATTGGTATTATTATGAGTGATTTTATATTTTTATTTTTCTTAATTATAAAAATAAAAGGGATGGTTGAGTGCATCCTCCTCTCTTAGTTGAGCCTTGGTTGCTGTTGGCAAATC